GCAGGTGTGGTAGTACGCACTTGTCACCGCAGCACTCGGAAGGCTGAGGCAGGATTGTTGCAAGTTGGAGGCCAGCCTGTGCTAAGAAGTGACTTCAGGCCAGCCTGAGCCGCCTAGTGAAACTCTGTCTGAAAAAGACTAAAACAAAATTTGCTGTGACTGTTTTTGTTTTGCTTTAAAAAAACCCTAAGAACCCCATGAGGTATTTACAGTTCTGTGCCCATTTGGAATTCAGTTTGTAATAAGAAGTAAGAGAACGCTCACCCTATGTGTGCTGTTGTCCTCTGTGGTTGCAGCCCCCATGCCCCGGCCTCCTCCATGGTAGGAATGCACAAGTATCTGCCTCTTCCTTTTGAAGATAAGTATTGGCCTTGAGTGCACTGGGTGTGCAGAGGGCACGGAGTGGCCAGGGCGGTGCCCACAGGACAGTCGTCCTCAAATCTTGGTGAACCTGCTAAGGAAAGTGTAGTGCACTGTTAGTTCCTGCATCTCAGACTTTGTTCGATCCAAGCATTTCTGTGCCTTCTGAAGGCTGAGGCAGGTGCATAAGGCCTGTGCTGGTGTCAGACAAGGTTTGGGATGGGGTCACCACTTCCCATCTGTGAAATGGGGACTGTGTTTGTGTTAATCTGTGGTGTACAGTCAGGCAGATGGTACGTGGGAAGGGGCTTACCTCGTCTGGCACAGTGGTGGTAGCCATTACTAAAGTTTTAGGAAAGCTTAAAATTAAAAGAAACTTTTTTTGTAGATATTGGAAAACACTTTTAGTATCTGGGATGAGTCATTTACTATAAAGCAGTAAAATAGAGGCTTTAGAGTTTTTCTAACTGCGTCACTACATGAGGAACACAAGGGCAGTAGGTCAGATTCTTCTGCATTTGAGGCAAAAAAGAATTAGGGTTTCTGGAGAGAAAGAATCTTTTCTGACATTTGAAAGGTATCACCTGTGCGCTAGCAGGGGAGGTTACTGAGTCAGTGAGTGTGACTGGCACAGTGAGTTGGGAACTGGAGTCCTCACTCCGTGATCTGCTACCAGGTGCTGGGGCCATCACCGCCCCCCAACCCTGACTCCTCACCTATGACTGAGACAGGGCAGAGCTGAGCGGTGGGTGAATGAGGAGTTGACCCCAGGTGAGACACTGCAGATTGTGGGGGAGAGGAGGGCGTGGTTCCAGTGAGTGCCTTGTGATCTTTCCCTAAGAACAAATGATATCAGGGTGAAATCTAGTAAAGGTGCTTTTACTCAAGGGATCGTGACAGTAAGGTGCTCTTTTTTATTCTTTTGTTTAGTTATTCAGTCAACACATGTACAAAACCAAGCTCAGACCATGGAGAAGCACATAGGAATCAGTCACAAAGAAGTATAAAACTAAACCAGGAGAGCATAGGGAAGAGTGAGAGAAATCCAAGGAGAAGACATTTCTCATCACTGAGCTTCTCTCAGGTGCCACCATCACATGACCAGCTTTCTTTTTTTTTTTTTTTTTGGCAAAACCGGGGATTGAACTCAGGCCTTTGTGCTTGCCAGGGAAGCGTTTATTCTACTGAGCCATCTCCCTGGCCATGTGACCAGCTTTCAAAAAGCCTTGCCAGAAGCCTGGGAACCTCCCCTGGGAGGTATTCACACACCACCTGTCTTTTTTTAATTCCTCTGTATTCATTGTAGTATTTCTAATGCTGAGTGAAGATGGATTAGATGGATAGTAGGTCAGTGGGTCTTGACTTGTGGGGGAAAATGTGCTCAAGATTTACAGGGCCAAACTTTTTATTTTTATAGATCTCAAGGGTGGTCTTGGGCACCACCTCTCAAAAAAAGTATGATGGTTGCTGTTTCAGGTTGAATCGCAAAAGTTCATTAAAACCCCATGGTGGGGGGACACATGTTGGTAATAAAGCTGTTTCAGTTTACAGAGAAGTGGTGTACACTATCCTTAGTCCTGGGCAAGTAATATGTGTTTTATAGTTAATCCTAAATTCTGTGTGTGTCATGTGCTCTTGGAAATGCTGTATGGCTCAATAAAATAAGGTCAAAATATTTTTAGAGGATTACTCATTAAACCAAAAGAACTGTATGAGTAACTGTAGTAGCACTCATTCCCTGGCCCCATTTGGGGAAGCTCTTGGCACGTGGCACTGTAGCTGATCGCGGCTGAGGCTCAGGCTCCTTCTTTGCTAGGGTGTCTGCCTGCCACTCACCCAGCAACTTCACATGTCCAGGGAATGACCATTGCCCTGTTTGAGTTGTCTCCTGGAGCTCCTCTTTTGCTGTTCTCCAAAACTAGACTGTAACAAATTGGAAATCCCCAGAGGGTTTTACCCTGGAGAACAGAAGTGAAAACTTCCAGGAACCATGACCTACTTGCAAAGATGGGACTCTTCCTGAGAACAGTCTGGGTTTCCCCACAGGCCCATCCTGTCACCCTGAACCAGAGGTACTGGCCCAGAGAAATGGAAGCAGAATCTTTTCTTCTGGTGAATAGATGTGTGCTTTACTGCAACTCTTGCCAAGAGAAGGGGAAAGAGTCATTTTTGTGGTTGGAACCCATGAGAGCCAGTGGGCCTGTCCCTAGGGAAGAGGGGACCAGGGCTTAGGTTGTTGGCCAGCATTTACTGTAAGCTGTTCCCTGACACGTGCACTTTTGGCGATTTGTTACCCCCGTGTAAACACTTTGGTGCCTCAGCTGGCTCCTGAGGACAGGCACCCTTAGTTCCAAAGCAGACCAGTAAAGAGTGGACTTTACACTTGTGGACTAGCATCAAGGGTAGGCTTCCATATGCAGGCAATGAGGTTGGGCCTGTACCTTCCTTTATTTTTTCTTTGTGACAGGGACTTGCTATTTAGTCAGGCTGCTCTAGACTCAACTATATAATCCAGGCTGGCCTTGAACTCACAGTGATTCTCCTTCATTAGCCTCCCCAATGCTGGAATTACAGATTGTGCATCACCGTGCCCAGCCTGTGTGCCCTCCTCTTAATCCAAGGTCTGGGAATTGGGACCTCTAAACAGCAGAGTCTCCTTCCCTCGCCCTTTGGTTACATTTTACTTTACTTGTCCCTTACTCTCCTGGGGCTCTCATGGGCTCATTCTAGATTATTTGCCACTGTTTGGGGGCCATAACTAGGGCAGGGTGGCATCTCACTATAGTCATAGTTTGATCCAAGCACTGCTTGGCCAAGATGCTTGAGCTGAGCGCAGGCATGAAAGTTTCTGCTTCTTGGCATAGGCTGCATAGGAATAGTTCTTCTAGGGTCAAGCTGGGCTTGATCTTAGGGGTTTTTTGTTCACCCCAGGCTCAGCAGTCACCGAGGGTCACACTGCAGTTCTGTAGATGGATGGCATTATACTTGCTGTGTGCTCTGTAGCTGACCAGGAATGTTTCAGCCGCACTCACAGCGCATGATCACCACTTCAGAAAGGCTGCTGTGATTGTATCTCACTCAGTTCTTTTAATTTTGGTGGCTGTAAGATTTGCTTGTCAATTGTCAGCAAGACATTCTGGGTCTTGTGGTAAGCATTGTTTGAGGGCACCTGCTCTTTTGTATGGGTGTGAGTCCTGCTGAGCCCCCTGTCTGGCCAGGGGACCCTGAATAGTCACTCAAACCCAAAGACTCCATTTAACCCTCTTGCAGGGTCTGCCAGGGGTATAAAAGAGATGGCATGGCCCAGATGTGGCACAGAAGTTCTCAACCGCCCTGAGACATTTCTGTCACTTACTTTGGTTTCTGTAGTTGCTGGCAGGTGCCTCATATGATGAAGAGTTCTAGAAGGAAAGCGAGGACACATGGCTTGGGATAATGATGCTTACTTCGACATCCTGGCAAGAGTTTTGTAGTGACTGCCTGTCACTTGGGTAGCAGTTCTGGGAGCTGGGCCTGATTCCTGAAAGCCATCTTTGTGCCTGTTTCAAGCCTTGCCCCAGGCCTCGGATGCAGGCTCCAGCTGCACGAGGATGAATGTGTTGCCACATCCCATGGCTTGAGTGTTTGTCTACAGAGCCTTGGGATTGTTTAATGAATGACTCTTAAGTGGTTTAGACTTTCATAAGGAACATTTAAGTCACCAGAGAGTGAGTAGTCATTGCTGATCTATTCTTAAAAGGTCATATAACTCATGCTAAACTATGGGGAAAGAACCTTGCCTGCAGGTTGGGCCATGGCTAGAAGCCCGTATCCCTTTGGGGACATCTGGGTGGTTCTTCTCTCTTGTTCCCTTTACCTCTTTTTCCTTCCCCAGGGGCTTCAGACCAGTCTCGTTGGCCTTGTGTCCCTAGCATCCATCCACATAGAGCTGGTGACTTAGAGCAGGTTAGAAGGGAAGGGGTGAGTTATTCTCTTCCCCCATCATTTCCAGAGTGACTTCTGGCTTCACACTCTGTGATTAATCAGTCGCGTGTCGTCTGTGGTCAGGGACATGGTCCTGCCTGGTGCTGGTATATGGTGGCAACAACATTTGCACTTGTGCTCATTACACAGCAGATGTTCAGTACAGACCTGGCTCTGTGGGGCATGGGATGAGGTTGCAGGGAGTTGTCATACACCCATATGGTTGAGATCAATGTGTCCGGCTTAATATGCTGAACAGTTTTCTTAAAGTTCAGTTTATTATGCTATAGAAAACAGCAGAAAGAAGTTTCTGGGTAGTCATGTTCTGCATGTGTGTCTCCTGTGATGCTTCCTACGCAGGACCCCAGTCCTTGCCGGGGGAGGCTTGCTTATCCTCTCAGGTTGCAGTAGAAATTGCCCTCATACATGCATGTAGTTTCCCTGGCCTCAATTTGGCTGCCTATGGACACCTGTGGCCTCGCATTCACAAGCTGGGGACACTGCACCAAGGTGACACGTCAGCCTTATCAGATTGTCTGATTTCTCATTCTTGGCCCCAGCCCCACACAGCCTATGTGATGAGCAGACAGAAGCCTGGTTGTCATGGCAGCTGGTAAATTGTGAGCTAAGCGCACATCATCGCAGCCATGGAGACAGCCGAGCTCCTGCCACGTCTGCAGAGCACAAGCCTGTAGTCAGAGCTGTTCACACTTGGGGACACAGCAGGTGACGTGGGCCCCAGGTGGTGCTGGTGGGGGACTAGCAGGCCCTGCTGTCCCTCAGCAGCTGAGCCAGGGCAGGCTTACAGGAGATCTCAGAGCTGAGGCACTGTCTGCAGTGTTTAGGCCTGAGGCTGTTGTGTCCCTGAGAGGAAGTAGTTCTCAAATATGTGGGCTGTGAGCCCCACTGTCATCCTGGTAATGCTTATGAGGAGCCTCTTTCCCAAATAATGGTTTTAAGGAGCAAGACAAAATACACTGGATGACGGATGAATGCAGTTGTATTGAAAAATGGTCATCAAAATGCCAAATAAAATGTGTGGCAGGGTAGTAAATGAATTCATCACATTTAATTACAAGACCACCCTGTGGGGGCTGGGGAGATGGCTCAGTAGAATAAGTGCTTTCCTGGCAAGCGCAAGGACCTGAGTTCAATCCCTGATTCTGAAAAAAAAAAAAAAAAAGACCACCCTGTGGTGTGAAGTGCGCTTTGCAGCATTGCTAAGACTGTGGTGTGATGTGGGAGAGCTGTGCCTTCTGTTGGGATCCCAGGTACTGCTTGTCGGCCTTGTCATTCACCTTGCAAGTGAAAGGAGGTCCACCTGGAAAATCTTTTCCACTCTTGTAAATCCCAGGGTTGGGGGGACTCCAGCTTTGGGTGCAGGTAGAGAGGCAGAGATGTCCAGCTGGCTCCTTATTACTGAGGGACTCTGGGCAGGACTGGTGCTAGGCTAGAGAAGCCCAAGCAAGTTTCCCAGTGATGGTCTCTTGGTGCCAGTGACTGCTTGCTAAATTTTGTGTGAAGTGTTTCTAACTAGGGAGAGGTAGCACAGGACATGAAGAAAAAAAAAAAAGAAAGAAAGAAAGAAAAACTGCTCAATCCCAGTGTGGACTAGAAGTGCAAGAAGAGGCTGTGGGTTGGTGTGAGGTGGGCTGGAGAGAGGCGGAGAGGTAGAAAGCACCATCTCCTTCCTGCTGGCCTCGCTTGTGCCCCACTGCAATCTGGGTTCTGGGAGCCCCAGCAATATGTGCAGGGCCATGTGCCTTGTTTTCTGAGCTGGCTCAGGCTAGGAGCCTGGGAGGACCAGACGTGATCAACTCTTCAGCGAAGCGATTAGCCTGGACGTCGAGAAGCTTCAGGCAAGAGGCCAGAGGCTGGCCAGGAAGGAAGTGTGTCTGGAGGTTTGTTTGCAGTGCTGTGTGGACAGGTGGGACAAGTGGCTCAGCCTGTGGGGAGGGGAGGAGGGTACCCTCTGAGCACTCTCCCATGCAGGTCCTGGCTCCTCTTGTGGGGTTTGGATGCGGATATTCACACAAGGAGCCACCCACACAGGGCTTTGGCACAATGTAAATATTTGGAAGACCCTCTTACAGAATTAGCAGGAGATTCTGTGAGTAATGCAGTCAGTAAAGAGAGTTTTGTGCAACATTTTATTTTTATAATGTAATATTAAAAGAAAGAAGCAGAGTATAAAAATGCCTCATTCCAGCCAGCACTTATACACGTAATTATACATGTGTATCTAGACAGAGACAGGTTTTACAGGGATCACCTCAGAATGGCAGTTCCAGTAGTTTTTATTTCCTTTGTATTTTTTCTCTAGTTACAGCAGTAAGTTTCATCAGGGCTGAAGAAACTACAACATGTTGTTTGTTGTGGGCGAGAAACAAGACCCTTTGCTGAGTATTGTCTAAGCAGGTGCTCCCTGCCCTTCTCTAAGGCACTGAGCTGGAAGCAGCTGCACTGAGTGACCCTGCCACCCTCCAGAGAGGGCTGTGGAGCCAGCCCTGAGCTGCTTCCTACAGCCAGGCCATTATAGTAGGATATATTACAGTAAGATTGCTGATCAGACCCCACCTACTTCTGAATATCTGGTTGTGCTTAAACCAGGAAGTTCTCCAAGGCAAGCCCAGTCCAGCCTTGCTACAACCTACCTGTGCACCCTAAGGGGACATGGGAACACATGCTGTCTTGGCTGCTTCCCTGGCGCTGGTCAGCCATGAGGTGGGCAGCTGTGGCCCTTGTAGTGCCAGTGGCTGGCTGTGCTGGGGGACCTTGGAAACCCAATGGGTGCCCAGCTGCATGTCCATACCAAGTATGCTCTTGAAACCTAGCAGCTGCATAGGTCCTAATCCCCTGACAGCATTCGTGTCTGTGTCCTCAGTTACCCTAAATCAGAGTTGATATCAGTCCCTGCTCCTAGATAACATTCCGTGCAGGGTCGCTGTGGGGAGGACTGTCCCTCCCGCACTACTCTGGTCTACAACTACCTGAGAACCTAAGAAGCTTTCTCTGCCCGTGTCTCATACCAGAGAGGGAGACATGCTGGGCATGGTAGAACCCTGCCAGAGTGTTGACCGTTGGGTGCACATGTCACATTCCACTCTGTGGCCCTCCTCTGAGAAGCTGGTGACATCACAGGTCCCTCTGGGGTTTCTTGATTTGGGGTGAGTCACAGGGTACCTCTTGGCATTTGCTACAAACACTGAAACTTTCAGTTGCTGCAACCCTTTTACTCATGCAGGAAGTCAGTTACTCATTTTCTGCATTTCCCTTTCACTGGTTGAATGTGACTCTAAAAGTGGAACCTTACGTCACACGTGCTGAGTGATGAGCACATAAGCAAACACTGAATGCCTACTTTGCCTTGACACCGGTGCTGGGTGGTGCACCTTGGGGCTCTCCCTGCTTGGGAGCTCACTGATGAGGACCCAGCCGAGGGATCGGTTGTTAAAGGACCAAGGGGTGACATTGCCTCTCCTTGGAGCCCCCGGAGTCTCTTGCAACTTAGGAGCCAGGGAATCCTGGGTATGAAAGATTTGCCTTCCTGTTCCCAAGCAGTTCCAGAAACAAGACAGAAACAACCAGAAATCCAAGTGTAGTCTGGACATGGTGCCACATACTACTTTGGAGGGGAGACTAAGGCTAGAGCATCATAAGTTTGAGTCTAACCAGACAACTTAGGAAGACCTTGTCTCAAAATTAAAGAAAAAAAAAAATTATATATAGCAAGGATGTAGAGTATCCCTGGCTTTTATCTCAAATACTGGAAGAAAAAGAAAAAACAGCCACCAGCTGTGTGGCCAGTTGCCATCTGAGAAGTATGTCTGTATACTGGCCACGATTGGAGAGGAAACGTGAGTGGGGTATGTGAGTGTCTTAAAGATGGAGAGAATAATTTAAAAGATGGAAGGTGGGGCTGTCTCCCAAGCTGGGCAGTGTGGCCATAGCTAGGAATCCAGATGGAAACTTAGGGGCTGGTGAGATGGCTCAGTGGTCTAAAGCACCTACTTGGAACAAGCCTGGCAAAGCACATGGACCGCGGTTCAATCCCCCAGCACCACATGCCAGCCAGCCCCGCCCCCTGGTGGGCTGAGCTGGCCACACACACACACACACACACACACACACACACACACAAATAAATAAATAAATAAATAAAATTTTAAAAACAGATGGAAACTTAGTAGGAGAGTGGGCACCCGAGCCCAGTGGAACAGACTGCACCTCAGCAGTCTCCTTGGCAAAGCCTACCCAGATGTTGTCTTTTCCCTGGAATAGCTCCTGGGCTCTCGTTTGTTCAACAGAGAAAACACACTTTTACCTGAAATAAGGTTAACTCTTCAGACCATGTGCGTCAAGTGTGACATTTATTTGTGTACTTGCACTTCTCTCCAGTGGATGAATGTGCAGTGAGTGTGTCTTGCATGTATGTGTCTCTTCTGTTGGTCTGTTTCCTTTGTGGCATGGTATTTACCTGCCAGGGCCATGGCATCTGTGTGAAAGGCTCTTCTCCACTGGAATACTCTCCCCTTCCAGGGCATTCTATGCTTTGCATCGTTTTGCAGTGCCTTCTGTCCCCTGAGAGTTTGGCTTAGATCTTTTCCCATGTTTTGGCAGCTTACACTTGAGACTCCCTGGGAAGATAAATAGGTCAGAGGTCTCCCAGGGCCCTACAGAGGGTCAGTCACTGAGCATGGTGAACTCAGTCCTTGTGCTTGGAAAACTTTGGTGCCCTTTTATTCTAGGATTTTTCTAATCCCTTTCGCTTCTGGTGAATGGTCAGCATTTTCATTATTCCTGGAAAAAAGGAAAAAAAATACGCTGTGCACATGCACATTTCATGAACATATTACCTCACATTTGCCATTGCTTTCGCTAATTCAGGTTAATAAAGCTAGAGACAGTTTCTTTGTTCTCACAGCAAATGTTCTAGAAGAAGGGACTTGGTGGAAGTGGGGCTTCTCTAGAGAAATAAGGTCAACCAGAGCAATGAATCCATGCTGAGTCTGTGCTTCCAATCAAGTTTAAGTAACATAGAGGCCCTTCCTGTGTGATGATGGGCCACGAGCTGTCTGGGCTAGAGCTGGTGGCTCAGCTTTGAACTCCAATATAAGGCCTCCCTCTCTCACAGCCTTGGACCGTTCACTTTCAGTTGGGGACCCCACCCATTGCTCTGTGTTGATGGGACTTGGAACTGAAAGTGCCTAAGCCACCATGGTAGTGCTTTTCCTCATGGAAAACTCCTTTCCTGAAATAGATTGTGGCTGTGTGCCTGGATGCTTCCTGGGATATAACCTGAAGTCATTTTTACTTTCTCTTCTCTTCTTTTCTTTTTTTAATTTTTTTTTATTTTTTGACATCAGTTATTTTATTTTAAAGAAAAAAAATAAAAACAGTGGTACAAAATCTCAAAACAAGATTTTAGGAGAGTAACAATGGTTAGTACATTGTGTATTGTTACTGCCAAAGTAGTTTCTCATGTTACAAGATATAGGCAAGAAATAATAAACAACATAGGTACAAACCTCTGTTTTTTTTTTAAA